TTGAAGCAGTTATCATACGAGTAATGAAAATGTTTGCCATACTTTCCTAGGTTGTAGGGATAATGGCCATCATGACAGCATGGTAATGGTTGATTGACAACGACGTGTTGGGAAAAAAGTTAATGATGACTCTGAATATCAGCAGTGGTTAGTAGAAGGAGAAAAGCACACAAGTGATTTTTGTGGTCAAAGAGAAGACATGTGTGAATGGTAATCTCAAAGAATGATCATTTCTCCTTGCGTCGAAGCTGATATTCTTGGGGGGAAATTTGTTAGCTCCTAAATTCAACACCTACAACAAGTTGGTCTTATGGGCCAAAAATAGATTGAACAAGTCTAAGTTGGAAAGACTTCGACAGAGTGAAAAAATACTTAGAGAAATTTCTAAGTTAAAATGAATCTTCGACCAGAAGGTTCTCACATCCTTCGATTGAAAAGGTTTCAGGGTCTTCGACTAGAAGGAAACTTCATATCTGCAACAAAAGATTTTGAATCTGAAGAAAGGAGGCAAAAGAAGTTCACTTGGCAGTTGAAGAAAGCAACGTAGCGTGAAAAGAGGGGTCGAAGCGCATGTAGAAGACACTTGTCTTCATCCTAGAGCAAGGCAACTCCTTGACGGTTACCTAGTCTTAGTATAAATATAGGAAGTTTATGTAGATTTTCGTGTGTTCAACTGATCGTACAAATTATTCAAAACTATTCAAGTACCCGATGCGTGAGAAAAAATACTGAAAATGTACGTTTGAAAGACCACATTTTATAATCAAAGTCTTTTATTTATCTTTTTACATTTCTTGCCTTTTTATCTTGTTTGCACTTTACTTGCACTTTTACCCAGATTCCTGCACTTAAACCCTTCTCAACCCCTTTTCTATTTACTTTCTGCACTCGAACTCATCTCTTTCCCAGTCGAATGTGCGTTCTTCACTTACATTAGCATTTATGTCCAAACAACACCAAAAATAAGCATATGTCCTAGGATTAAACTGATCGATCCTGCGAGTAACCAAAAAGTTACCCTTTTTGGAAGATCAGCGGTTGTTTACCAAAAAACACGGTGAACACAAAGTTATTCATTCATGATCTCACGAGAAAGGGGATGCTGGAATTGGGTGATTCTATAGGGATCTCCTCGCTGTAGAACACGATAGGGGTTGAACTTTCCCAGAATTTGTCGAGGGTGGAACTCTGATTTGAGCCTGCATCAATGAGTTTCTCGAATTTTATTTTACCGAACCTACAGTGAGTTTGTTGAATCCCCCGCCAGATATGACCACGAGAGGGGAAATTCTCCTAATTGCTAAGTATTGCAAAGTAGAGGGGAAAGTCGTTCTCATCAGGGACGTAGAAGTCCTTGAGTCGAGAGATGGACATGGAAATCTGCAAGTTGGCGTCATCCGAGGACGGCTTTTCCTCCTCGACCTTCTTTGATTCTTGGGCGTCATATCGAGGAGCCTCCCTTTTCTTGGTGTGTTGTTTCAAATGTCTGTCCCTAATGAGGATCTCAATTGCGTCCTTGAGGTGGATGCACTCTTTGATAACGTGCATGTGGCTCTTGTGGAACCAAAAGCATTTGGTCTTGTCCGTGTTAGGCTTGGAAGGTTTATGCTTGGGGAAACAGACAATAGCCTAGTGGAATTCTAATTTCCCACATTTAGACAGGATACGCTCGCGAGAAGTGGCTAGAGGTGTGTATTTGGCGAAATGGCTACCAGGTCCTTTGTACTCACGAGATTTGCAGGGTCTATCCTCTTTTCGTTTCTTCGCTCCTCTGAGAGGTGCTAAGCGGTCCTCATGCTTTGAAACCCTTGCGTTTTCTTGGTGTCGTGAGTCTCGAGCACTGTTGATGGCCTCCTTCTCCCTGTACTGAATGTAGGCTTAGGCTTTGAGGAGGAGGGAATCTAGCGTCGCAGGTGTTTCAATGCCAACTGCTTTGGAAAAATCATTACGGGGACGCAGTCCTATCTCGAGCAAATACTTCTTGATATCATCAGTCATTAAGACTTGGATGGCTTCCCTATTAAACCACTCGATGTATGCTCAAAAGGATTTGTCTTTCCTCTGTATGATCGCTTTGAGTAACGCCTCATATTTTGGATGGCGACGAGAATATGTGAAGTGCCTTGAGAAATGCTTCTCTAGGTTTTTCCAAGAGGTGATGGATTCGTTGGGGAGGCTATTGTCCCACGGCATGGCATCCTTCCTCAGAGTTATGGGGAATAACATACATTTGATGGCACCCCTGACGCTGTGATAATCAAGCAGGGCATCGATGTTTTTGATGTGCTCGTCGAGGTCAATTGTTTCGTCATACGTCCCCAAGTTTGGTGGCTTTTACAGTACGATGGGGAGGGGAATATCCATGATTTCCCTAGATAGAGGACCGCAAGGGTCGTCCTCTTCGCTCTAACGCAGTGACTGTGATGGAGAATAGTTAGGCTTCCTTGCTGAGGACTATCGCCCTAACAGGGTGATGGGCTTCTTGGTCGGCCATTTGGCTTGGGCAGAGGTGAATGACGGTTGTCTGGTCATCTATCAGATTTAGTTTTTTTGGTGACCGGGGAGTGTCGGTCCTTGCGAGGAGGAGTGTGATAATGCATTTTGACCAGCGAAGGTTCTAGTTTTTCTAGTGTCGGGCGGTGGCTTGGTCGTCGTGGTGTTGGACTTTGAGATATATATCATTATTGTCTCTGCGGGGAAGACCTTGAACGTCGTTCTTTATCCAATGCCCCAATCCTTTCATTTTACTGGTGGATCAAGGTGTTGGTCTAGTTGAGCGCAACAACCAGGGCCGCCATAGTCGGATCAGCGTTGGATGAATCAGCTAAAAGTTCTTCGACGCCCTTCTTGGTTTTTCTTGGTTTCCATGAATTGGACGTCATTGTCCTCTGCCTCGTTGGAGGAAGGGGATGCAGTGTAACCGTCTCTCTTAGGGGAATGTTTTCTTCGAGAAATGGCTCATTGTCAGTTTTACAGATGGGTGAGATGACGGTTTTATGAGTGATGTTGTCGTTGTCTTGATCAGTTATGATTGGATCTTAAAGGTTTGCTTTGATCTTTTGGTTTCAAGGAAAGAAAAGATGGGGAAATAATGATTTCCATAGATGGTGTCACTAATCTTACCAGTGATTAGAATCTATAATGGATCAATAACTTCGTCCGCAGTGCTGAGAATCAACGAATGGGGGGTGTTGTGGTTTCTTCCCGTCCAATGCTAATCTTGGATGAGTTATTTTATTTTTTATCCAGTGTCATTCCTGGATGACTCTGATGTATATTCAGATTTGGTCTCATTCCACATCTAATGTTTTTCTAGATGTTTCTGATGTATTTTCCAGAGAGTCTCTCCCTTCATCCAAAGTAAATCATTGGATGTTGCGATCGTATTTTATCTGAAGCCAATGATCGGATGTCTTGAACTTTTTTCCCTTCATCTAAAGCCAATGATTAGTTGTTGCGATCATTCTTTCTTCCAAAGTCAATATTGGATGTCGTGATCTGTGTTGCTATCTAAGTCAATATTGGATGTCTCTGATGTGATCTTCATATTCGGTCTCATTCCACATCCAATGCCATTCTTGGATGTTTTTTTATGTAATTTCCAGAGAGTTTATCACCTTATTCAAAGCAAATCATTAGATATTATGGTCTTTTCTTTCGTCCAAAGCCAATTATTGGATATCATTATTTTTCCCTTCATTCAAAGAAAATAATTGAATGTTGTTGTCGTCCTTCGTCTAAAGTCAATTATTAGATATTGTGTTTTCCCTTCATAAAACTTTCTCCCCTCATCTAAATCCAATGATTAAATGATACGGTTTTCTCTCATTGAAAGCCAATTATTGGATGTCATGGTTATCCATTTCCCTTCATTCAAAACCAATAATTGAATGTCGCGTTTTCCCTTCATCCAAAGTTAATCATTAGATGTTGCGATTGTCTTTTATCCGAAGCCAATGATCGAACGTCTTGGATTTGTTTCCCTTCAACTAAAGCCAATGATTAGATGTTGTGTTTGTTCTTTCGTCCAAAGTCAATGTTTGGATGTCATAAATTTGATTCCCTTCATCCAAAGAAGATCATCGGATGTTGTTGTCCTCTTTCATAGTTTCATTGTTGTCCAAAGCCAATAAGTGAATGTCTTATCCCCAGTATATTATTTTTCACCCTCCAATACCAATATTGGATGCCATTAATATCTTTGTATTTCTCCAGCGTGTCCTCTCACGTCATATCATTCAACTACCACAAATTTCCAGTTTTAAGTCTTTCCAATAATTCTCACGGAGTTTGTCACATATCATACATCATTCATTATATATATATATATATATATATATATATATATATATATATATATATATATATATATATATATATATATATATATATATATATATATATATATATATATATATATATATATATATATAAGGAATCATGTATCCACCGTATTCTCACCACACTTCATTCACCTTATACCCATTGCATCTCAAGGCAAAATTTCGGATTCTTTGATATTTAACTATCTCCCACTACGATTATATGAAGTCTGATAATCTTCATATTATCTGATTAAAGATATTTAAATAGGGACAGTTGTTGTACCCCAAATTTTTCTGAATTTCTCATTTGCATTCATATATCGAATTAGTTTTCATTCGAATTCTTTTACATCTTTACGCGCATTTTTACGTTTACTTTTTATTTAAATTTTTATCTATATATTTCCTTTTTGCTTTTAGGATATTAATAATTAACTTTTTATTTTTAGTATTATTATAAAATTAAAATAAAAATATTTGTGTTTTTTATTTATTTTTATTAAAGAAAGTGTATATAAAAGATTTTGTTATTTTATTTATTTACTTTTATTTATTTTTATTTATCTTTAGTGTTAAAAAATTTATAAAAATTGTTTTATAATAAAGAATTTTGTTTAGTTTTGATAAATATCTCAAATATCCAAGGATAAGGGACTTATTTGTAATTTGCTATTGATGTTAGCCTGGAGAGAGAGGATAAGGTTGGGTGTGTTGCGTAAAGGAGGAGATATCAGATCAAACTGTGAAAAATCAAAGACTCCCTTCATATCAATTCTTTTTCTCCTTCACACTTCAACTGTAACAGCAAACTCTGTAGCTGCGCATACAATTCCCTCGGTTTTCAACTACCAATTTCCACCAACACTACGTTCCAATTTCCTGCTTCCGTTTTGCAAATTGGTAAGCATTTTCTCATCAAAATACTTTTGTGTAGCTCAATTTCTGAAGTTGTTTTGATGTCATTATTCTATTGTGTTCGAATTGATGTCATTGTTGTGTTGATATTTGAGTTGAATTTCAATGAGAAGTTTTGCTTGTGATATCGGTTTTTGTTATTCGTGCGATTTTGAACGGTGGATTCGTGTTGACAATACTTTTGTTGGTGTTTAATTTCGAATGTGTAATATTGTGCCGTTGTGATTGAATCGGTTCCGAATGAAGCTTGTATTACATGTTTATTTGTTATTTCGTTTTGAATTCATTTGAAATCAATGCCTTGATTCGGTCCAATTGGAATTTATGATTGCGTTTTGATATTGTTTGGTTTGAATTTTTGAGTGAAATGTAACATTGCATCATGTTTGTTTGATTTCATTTGAAAGAGATTTGATCGACGTTTGAGTTGAATCCAATGGAGAAAGTCTGTTCGCGATATTGATGTTTTTCCCGTAAGGCTTTTGCGATAATAGTTCGGTTCGTGGCTACCCAGATTTTAGTTTAAGGGATTTAGGCTTATGTGGATTTCAATTTTTCATGTTGCAACTCGAGTTTTCACTTCTTGTTTCGTTGGTAGATTGAAATCATGGTTGTCTTGAGGTTGCTTGATTGTGAACATGCTTGAATCATGTATTGGAATGCCTGATTTTTTGAGTAATAACTTGAGTTATTGATTCTTGATTGAAGAATATTCAATTGTACATGTGCATTTACACAAGTTTTATGTGGTTTTTCAACTTTACTTGCGATTACTAACTTGTTTGTTGTTTCCTTGGTTTGTTGTTCATGTTTGAGTCGACTTTTATTGTGCGATAATGGATTTGTGTAGTTGCAGCCCGAGATTTGATTTAAGGGTTTAAAGTCTATTTTGAATTCGACTTCTTATGTTGCAATGTGAATTTTCGATTCTTGTTTCTGTTGTGGATTGAAATAGCGATTACTCTTTAGTTTACTTGATGGAATACACTTGAAATAATGTGTTAAATGCTGATTTTTATGGTTGCATTGAGTAATAACATGAATCCATGGTTCTTTGATTGAGAAATGATTCAATTATACATGTTCATTCAATTCAAGTTTTGTTTGGTTTTTATTTCCTCTTGTGTTAGTAATTTGTTTGTTGTTTTGTGCATGTTCTCAAGATAGCTCAAGTGGCAGCTTCTTCTTCATTTTTATTCGCTTTTAATTGATTAATCTAGCGTTGATTTATTTATTTGATTTTGTTATTAAAAATTGATTAGTTTACTAATCTATTTTTCTTAACTTGATTAATTAAGTTAATCAACTCTTGATTAATCGGTTAAACTTTCATTTTATATTTCATTTATCCATTTATTAGTTTTCTTTCAATTGTAGCGTGTACACATGTTTAAACTTTTTAGTTAATTAATTAAATATTACTTTAGTTAATTGATTCTTGTTAATTAAAGTTGATTATTCTTAATAATCGATTTTTCTTAATTCGGTTAATTAATTTAACCAATTCTTGATTAATTGATTAAACGGTTAATTCATTCATTCGTATACTTGTAACTATTTTGACTTGATTTCTGAGATACTGTTATGACCACTTAGCTTGCGTTTCTTGGTTTCGTCTGTTTGTATGGATATCCATCTGACGCGAGGACTTCTATTTGATATTCAGCTGATGCGCCGAGCTTTATCCGACGCCTTGAGTTTACCCGATGTGATTTCTACACTTGTGATTTATTTTCACCTTATTTGATATGTCGTCTGCTTGTGATTTATTTTCACTCGACGATTGGTATTTTTTTGATTTATTATTGGCTTTCGGTTTCAATTCAAAGGATGAGAATTCTTTGTTGACTTTCTATGTCAAGCATTGGCTTCTTATTTAGTTAGATGGTTCCTTACTTACCTTTTACTTTCTTGTACATAGGATAGTCTCTTCATCTCCTACCTCATTCTTCATTTTCAAAACTTTCTCATCTTTTTCAAAACCTTATTGTTTTCAATTAACTTGAACACTTTTATAATAAACCTTGACTTTGTCAAGTGACTTTTCAAACTTTTTTTCTTAATAAATACTAAATCACATAAGCATATTCTAACACTTTCAAAACGACTAAAAAACATTCAAACCTTTTTGTGTGTTCAGACACTTTTTTTCTTTAAAACCTTTTTCAAGATTAGACATGATTCATTTATAGTCGAGATATCATCCTCATATCCTCATGGTTATAAAGGTGTTAACTTTTTCACTAGAGTGCCAGCAGGGTTTCCAAATCCTCCTCATGTTGACGCACAGTCCATCTTTCTCACACCTTGTGGGCGATTAGTTGAGATTTCTCTCCTAAAAATGAGGACTTGTCTTTTCATTTAAAATCAATTAACACATCTGTTTTGTTCTTTTTGAGAAGAATTACGAGTGTTCTGATCCCTTATTGTACGAAGGGGGTACGTAAGCACAAAGGTTCGCAACCGCGGCAGACACAATAATAAAAAACATTTTCTTTTTGTTCTTTAATAACTTTTTCATTCATTTCCCTTTAGTAAGTTTAAGTCTTAGATAACACATTCTCTGATTAAAATAAACAAAGTGGATCTTGTGGAGTACCGTAGATGCTTAGGGTGCTAATATCTTCCATTTGCATAAATGACCCATGTACCTTGATCTCTATTTTATTTTATCTTGGGTTTTCTTTGCTCTTTTCCAATTTTCTTTTGGAAACAATAAAGTATAGTGGCGACTTCATTGTGTGAGTTAAATCAATTAATGACATAAATTCAAATTTTTACCGCTACATTTTCGCATTACGAGTGTGATAGGTAGCCCAAGAAATTTAAACGAAATTATGTCCATACTACACAAAAAGAAAGTTGAAATTGCTTGTAGGAAGCTCCCTTTCAAATTTATTCCATACAATTCACTTTTGTAAAAGTTAACATGTTGCCTTAGAACCAGTTCAAATCCACATAGTATAGCTATATTACTCCATAAGTTTCTCCTTGAGCCCTCACCTACTAATACGGTATCGTCTACAAACTATAAAATTTGATAGTTGACATTTTCATTAACTCTAAATACTTGAAATTCTCTCTTGTTAACAACATTACAAACCAACCTTGTTAAACCTTTTACTGCAATCTGGAATAAGAAGGGCGATAGTGGATCCCTTTGTCTCAATCATCGCACCACTTAGAAGTCCTTTATTGGGCTCCCATTAGCCAAAATTGGCATACTGCTTAAGAAAATACAAGCCTCCATCCATGATGACCATTTGACTCTAAATCTCGTTATGTTCATCACAAACCTCAGATAACTCCAATACATATTATTGTGTACCCTTTCAAAGTTAACTTTCAGCATCAAGCATTCCCTCATTTGTCTTTTAGCTAAGTTTATCATTTCATTGACCACGAGAACGTCGTCTAAGGTATGTATGTTTACTTGGGATAAATTTTTATTGGCACAAATATATATTACATTTCCTATCACCCTTTTCAATCTTGACGCTAAAATTTTTGTAAGAATTTTGTATAGACTACCAATCAAGCAGATTGGTCTATACTCATTCGATTCTTGGGGATTCTCTAGATTTGGAACTAGCGTCAGGAATGAGGCTGTGATCTCCTCAAGGACAACTCCATTACAATGGAACTCATTCACAAAGTTTACAATATCACCCTTCACTGTTTCCCAAAAAGTCTTGAAAAAATCAAAGTTGAATTTTTCTGACCTCGTGCTCTTGTTTCCATCACTTGACCATGCAACTTCTTTAATTCCTTCGTAAGAGAATGGTTCTTGCAACATAAGTCTATCTTTATCTAATAAGTGCTCAAATTTTACACTGTTAAGAATTGGCCTTTTGAAGTTTGCTTCTTGAAAATAGTTTTTGACTTCCATCTTAAGATCATTCACCTGCTCAATTTTACCTCTACTAGTCTTAGTTGAGACTATGTTATTCCTTCTCAATCTTGTACTCACGATAGAATGAAAAAAATGAGAGTATGAGTCATCATTCTTGGTCTATTTATGTCTGACTTTTGGCTAAGTAGGCTTTCTTTGAGTTGAATATTTTGCCAAACAATGTTTGATGTCATCGAATGTTTATCTCCTACCTTAGAGTCATTTTCAAATCTCTCACTAGCAACCAGAGAGTCTGATTAGTTCGACTCTTTGACAATTCAAATCAATCATCTCAAAAACCTTTGTGTTCCACTATCTTATTATTTCTTTTAGTAATTTGAGTTTCTCCTATAACATATGCTTATTTTTCGCATACATCAAAAGCCTTCCATGATTCTTCGACAAATGGAATGAATTTTTTGTGTTCGAATGAACTGTTATTCACTTTGAATAGTTTTGGTCTCAAATTTGAATTATTCACTATATTCAAATGGGATAACAGTCATATATGTCTCCGCTCAAGGATCTTCCATCTAAATGGAACAATTTGTATTTATTATCAAGAAGAATGCTAGGAACACTCTCTTAAACACTTACTTTATTATTGAATGAAATACATGAATCCTACCACTTTATGCGGGACCTATTTCTAAAGTGAGAGATCCATAAACATTTCACCCAATAAGAAAGTAAGTGTTTCAAAAAAATGTTAAAAAGATAGTGTTTCTAGCATTCCTCTTATTATCAATAAGAGGTATGTCCCCTATATCCTGGAGAAATTAACTTTCCCCCCTCCATATTATACATGTTACCTCCAGACATGACACATTTACAAAAGTGTCCATGAAATATACCGAAAATTTTGAATTTTTCGGTTCCGTAACAGAAATTTCATGTAAATACCATACATTTCGTTAAATTTCCAAGTTTTTACCGTGTCATATGAACGTAACCGGGATTTTGAAATTTCCGGTAACAAATATTTTAAATTTCTGGTGTTTTTTCATCATTATAAAAAAAATTGAAATTTTGAAATTTCCGATGTGTGAAAAATATTGAAATTTTCAATTTTCCGGTAATACTGGGATTTTTTTTTGTTTTTTTACTATTACTTGAATAAAATACATCGTGAAATAGCGAACCGACTTAATATATAAATAGAATAAATTTCATACATATCTATATTAAAAAACTACAATCACGACCTAAATAATTCTTTCCAATGCCTGAAGCGACCCGCATATAGTGATTCTCATACTTTTGCATCATTAGAACAATTCTCCCTCCAACTTTTAGTGATGGGAGACAGTGGATAATTGGGTTTCAACTTTACCTGAACCCAATAATTTTCATTGACAAAACCAACAACAACGATTGTATGTCGACTCGTGTACGAAGTCCTAAAAGGGAAACAAATATGACATTATATCTAGAAGAAATAGGATAACTCATATCAGAAATCGACATTTGTTTCTCCCTACCATAGACACCCAAGTGTTTTACTTGTAACGAAGTCCTAAAAATAGAGACAGTGTCATAAAACAACTTGGAAAACAAGTCAGCGTGTTAAGTACTCGACTATTACAGATTTGGTAGAAGGTTGCTTACCAATCGACATGGTTGACGATTGACTTCCACTTAGTTTTGTGCATGATCTCTTCATAATATGACTCCCCTGCGAAGCATCAACATATTCCCACTGACTAGGATCACGATGCACATCACTCTCCTCACCCTTTCTACTCTTCTTAACTCCCTTCTTTGGCTTGTATTTCATCGGCGGTGGACACATTGAAGTTGTGGATGGATACTTTAGATCACAAACTTTTTTTTTCAACACCCTCTTATCCACAATATCCAAAGTACTGAAATGTCTCTTAAACTCTTCACACTCTTCTTCTAAATTCCACTTACTCTCATCAAGACTCACACCATGTTCTGAAATGTGCAATTTCGTCCAAAATACATGAATTGATTCCAAAGGTATAAAGGTGTCTAGAATTTGGAAATCGGAAAGTTGACACACACACGGTAACCCATGTGTTGTTCTAATGTAACAATCACGCCTCTCCTTGCTTGCACCAATAAATTTTACTCTTTCTAGTTCCTTTTCAATGAGTTTTATACATTGTCTTGAGACAAAACTGTGAAATTTAAAATAGAATGGGGTGTTATATCGATGTTCAATGTTGGCGATACTTATTTGAAACGACACTCTGATGGAACCTAGCTGCAACTTCAACATTGTGTTCACAGCATCCCAACTTCGACATAAATCACCACGACTTGTAGTCAACAAGTTCTTTAGTCTCCAATGTGCAGACTTCGTCCTAGAAATCATGAACATATTATCTAAACAACTTTAAAATTAATATCTAAACATAAATATATTTTTTGTTAGTCCAATGTACTTGTTCGTTGTTGTGTTCCCTAAATAAGCGATTTTGTTAGTCCATGCAACAACAAATCTTTTTTTATATGGTGTTAACCATGTTTCTTTCACATACTTGACAAATGATGAAATATCACCACAAACACTCTCGAAGTGGTTGAGATGTACATCAAACTCATCTTCTGTCTTTGAATACATGATATTGTTCCGTTGATCCATGATATGTTCTTGTCTTTCTGATTTCACATACTCTTTACATTTCATGCTCACGTTTTTTGAAATGGGGAACGTACACAACAATTGAGTTACATTTAGATACGCGGAATAAATGACATTCATTAATGCAAGTTCCCGATCTGTCACCATAATATTTGGTAGCAATTTCTCTTAATAGAGCATCTCTTTGAGCTTCTGTAGTACCCATGTTAAGTTCTCCTCTTTTTCATGTTCTAAATAGGCAAAAGCAATTGAAAATGTCAATTTTGTTGATGTAACACGAACAATCTCCATCAGTGGTAGCCGGTACCTGCACGATTAAAATAGACATTCATCAACCAGCTCACTCAACATATTTTAGGACGGGAGAAGTAAAATTTTTACCTATTTATCTTGTATGTGCAATCAAAAATTAACACCAAAGGAAACATATTCAACAACTTCACAGAGTCAGGGTGTGTCCAAAAGATATCAGCCACAATATCTGAATTCTCCTTATTTCTAGTCCAACACATGTATTTCTCTTGGTGAATAAGGCTCAATAACATTTTCATTTCTGTCATTGCACCTCCCTTACCCAATCTGTATGCTGCTCTAACTCGGTATACCTGGATAATACTCGTGAGGTTTTCTAAATCTTTGTCTTTTAAAGTAGACACGATGTACCTTGGTGTCATGTTGTACTTCGTCATGTCATTCACAAACTTTCTTTCATGATCTTTTAGACGACCTTATATGTCATAAACTTTCAAATCCTTATCTAGTCTATGATTGTGCATCCCGCATCTAACCATCACCTTCCAACCGATACTACTTTGAACAGATCTCAGTCTAAATGGACATCTAACCTTCATAGTATAATTGCCATCAGAAGGTTTCACATATTCATTTTTCTTTTTGTAATTTCCTCCTCTGTCACAACCCATAATCAATTTATCCTTTCTCCCTTGCATTCCATTAACAGTGTCGGACCGAATTGTAACAACAACAATACCATGATTTTTTCCAATAGATTGTGCTCATTCTAGAACTTTAGCTCGTGATTCAAAAACCTGACAATTACAATAACATATAATTAGTAAACTTCATGAATTTACAAAAAAAAATATGTAGATTAAATAAAAACATACGGTATCTGTGATGTAGAACTACGTAAGATCAGTACATAAATTTGTAGAAGAAACTGAAACTGTCGATTCAGAACCGCAAAGATATAAAACTTCATCCGCAGATATGCTGGAAATTTCAAGTATAACTGAAATTTTCAGTACACCGAAAAAATTTGATATTCCCGATAAAGGTTTTCTACTGAAAAGGTACGTGTATAACTTTTGTAAAATTTACGAAAATTTTAAAATTTCTAATAAATCGCAATAAAAATTTTTGAAATTTCTGATATATCACAATCGAAAATTTGTAAAATGTATGAAATTTTCAGCATGCGACAAAACTCGGCACTAAAAATTTACTAAGAGTACCGGAAATTTTGATTTTTATCTCTTTTGATCAATAGTAAAAAAAAATTATAAAAGTAAAAAATTTAGAATAAATAGTAAAAAGAGTATTTTGAAAATAATAAAAATTAGGAGAGTGACATGTACGATGGGGTGGCATCTTAATTCCTGCATTTCACCACTTATATTCTGTGAAGTGGCCCATTTCCTTTCATTTACATATCCTTAGATCATCTCATAATATTTTGTTTTTTTGGATATTGTACGAGGAGTATACATTAACAATGTAGGACAACATTCCTTGTCATTCCACATTGATCCCGACAAATCCTTCTCCTGCAAAGTTAAAGTTTAAAGAAAATAGTTTTGTCTTCCATATGATCTGTAGACCTCCTGGCCTTCCTTATGACTAATTTGCATTGCATCCCATAGACTAGCTACTCCAAAACCATCAATATAATGTAATTTAGCCTATTGTAAGAGACAAATATGGATTAATACCTAACTTCATAATTTGTTGAAGCTGCTTTCATTTTAGCTAAATTATCGCACCCTCAGTGAAAACTAACATTTGAATCATGACTGTCATTCTCACAATTTCATACAATTTAACGATTGAGATGAGTTAAAAACATGAGTATGTTTAAAAGAAATAAATTAGAAATTATTAAACTATTTATTTTCTAAATTTAAAAATAAATAAATAAAGAAAAGAACAGCATGGAGAATCACCTCAATGCCAACTCCAATCCAACCAGCCACACACAACCAAAAAAAGAATAAATGTGTCTAGCAAATTCATTCTTCCAATAAGGTCATCTAACTTAACAAATAGTAATAATTTACAGAAAAACACTCATAGTATGGACACAATTTTTTTGTGAACATATTTTTATCTGTTTTTTATTAGACATGAAATTAAACCAACCAAGAAAAATATAAAATCTAGATACATCTAAGTAAACTGTTTTATTCAAATATAAACCGATAAATAACCTACTTCATTTTGCATCTCAAGCTGCATCGTACATCATATTTTCATATTCTGTGTGTAGACTATAATATAATCAATCAACCATCAACAAAAATGCCAACCGCCTTCAATTCTTCTGATGGTCCGACATTAGAAGAGACTGAGAATTGTTACCGTTTCAAGAAAGCAAGATTTATTCTTCTGTGAGCAATGATAACCCTCAGCAGAAGTGACTAGCACTTGATGTGGATCATAATATGTTTGTGTTGAAACCACACCTCTATAAACAGATTGTACCCCAAAATTTGAACAGCGTTCAAACAATTTGTTCGCTCCCAGAAGCATCATTCTCAGCATCATTTGGCAAGGATAGCAGTTCCGTCAAGTCCATTCGGTACTCAAGACCTCTAAGATAGTGTCCCAACAGCATGCACCTACAGGGGGAAGTCAGTTGGAAAAATTAGTTTAGTCCAGAAATGAGCACCGCACTGGTACATAGCCTTAAACATTCCAAATCATCTTTCATAAACAAATAAAATACATAAATGGAAGGAAAAAAAAGCATATAAGCAATGGCAAAAAAAATATACTAACCAAAAGAGCAGGCGGGCAAGATAGTCCCGAGTTAATGAAATAAATGGCTGAAATTGAAGTGAAGAATTCTCAACAACCTCGGCACAATCCTCACTTCCATCATTTGCTGTTCCAACTGTTGCATTCTCTGACGTAGTTGAAGGTTTAGAATGCATCTTAGGAGAAAGGGTAGCCAGAAGACCGTGCACAACAGAGAGAATGATGTCCCTAAGTTCGGGGGATGTAAATTCTGACAGCTGTGCTACCTGCTCATTAGCCAAATACACAAGAATGTCACAGTTAACATAAGGAATACAAAATAACATGTTTTTTAATGTTTGAATGAATATTTGGAGTTGTCACATGACATCTTTGGAAGTTTCATGGAGCAGACACAATCAGAAGTTTTCCAACTAAGTTTGGTTATAAGGATCAAACAGCTTTAACAAATCATATGAACAAGTTATTTTAGAATAAACAAAATAAACAAATGAAAAGTGAATTACATCTGGGAAAAAAAAAAAACTAAACATCAGATGTACTAAAAACATTTTTCATAAAATTCAGATATTTTCTACTCCCTAGTCATTTGGCACACCGTACACGAATGCAAAATGTAACAGCAAGTACAAAGTGTCAATCTTGATATTGTTTTCAAGTAATGAATGAAGACAAATAAGGGATAACAAACCAAGGCTAGATATTTTTCAGAAAAAAACAAGGCGGGATAGAATTGCATCACTGTAATGGCATGAAAACTATACAACATATATACACAAAAGGAGGTGAATCACAATAAAAACACAAATGAAGAATTTTCACAAAAGGCAAAACCTGTTCAGGTTGAAGTGATCTCAAGTAATCCAGTAGATCATTCTTTTCTTCTCCAACAAACTGTTGCATTTGAAGAGCAGCACTTTTCCTCTTCACTTCACGTAGTTCCTTGAGAAATGTCCCAAAAAAGAAGGAAAATAAACAAAAATGAGAAAAGAAGTTTGTTGTCACGTTAGCCTAATTGAAACTGAGATATTTGGCAATCAATAACTAACAACTTCCAACTCAACAATTTTCAGACAGTTCAATGAAGCATGAATCCAATGCATAAAACCCATCAAATGTCAAGGAAGGGCCTTCAACTCTACAGCATACCTTTTTCATGGAAGACAAACGAGATTGCAGACTGGAAATAAATTCTTGAGCTTCGGCAGATAATTTGCCAAGGTCTTCAATATCGACATCCTCGAGAGACTTTTCAACTTTGGAAGACAAATTATTCTTTCTACCAAAGTCAATATTTACACTGTCACGTAGGAAGTCTTGTAAGTCGAACTTCGTACTTTCAGCCTTTGGCTTCTCAATATCTCTTTCACATGTATCTAGAGTTTTCTCCAAACAAAGCCTGTATTCAGCATTACGTAGTGTATACCTGCAAATACATGAAGAAAGCTTCTTATATTCTCCCCATTTGGATAAACATTACTTGGCAATGCATGATAAAATTAGCATTCTTCAGAAGCTTCAAAATTCTGGGACATTTATCAAGTATCAACGTATATTCTCACAAACTAAATAGTTATGAGTATGCAATATTCTCTCCCTTTCAGAGTAGCCATTCCCAGATAGCGGAGCAGAGCGGTCAACCCCAAAAGTGGGATAGAGGGATACCGTATGGCAGGATGACCGCTCTATTTGATCATTTTTTGGACAAATTACATTATAAACATATATCTATTGTAAAATTAAACAAATAACTCAACTCATAAAATATTCATAAATCAAATCACACATGACTCTTGAAGTGTGTAACGACTATGAAGAAAGATTACGGTCGAGTCTCAACACAAATTTGATTGAAAAACCCAAAATTACCCTTAAAGCATCAGTAAATTTAAGGGGTAATTTCGGTTTTTCAAAGAGGAAAAGGATAGAGGGCCAGAAACTGCTACGGGCTGGGAACCGCTCTGCTCTGCTATCCTGCTACTTACTCTATAGCGGCCGCTATGTTTTCTACATCGCTAAGGCTAAGAGCAAACCACCAAATCCAATTATTTGTTTATTTAACTCTGAAAAGGGAAAAACTAAAAGCAAACCACCAAATCCATCTCGAACTTCATAAGCTCTCCCAATTCCCAAACAGGTCCCTGGGATTATGAATATTTCAAAAACATCCCCCAACTCAGTCAAATTTTGCGGATATTAATCCTTCAGAGAGTCAGCAGGACCAAATCCAATAGTAATGTTAGGAACTAAATTGATAGTAGGTGACTAAGGGCATGTTTGGATAAACAGCTTATTTGCAGCTTATAGCACAAGTGCTTATCAAAATAAGCTCACATAAGCTGTTTTTATAACAAAAGATAAAATACATTTAAATTGTTTTTATATATGTTATAAGTTGTTTTTCACTAGCTATATTAAAGAATTTATAAAAATAAGTTCATAAGCTGTTTTGAGAAATGCTCCCAAACAGTGTGACAAAACTTATGGTAGCGCATAAGCTCAAATAAGCCAATCCAAACAGACCCTAAATATAGCGACCTAATGGATATAAAGTGGTTAAATATGAGGAAAAACTTGACAGTTTACTAGAGTCAGTGACCTTAGTCATAAACTCATGGACCTATTCAAGAGCTTGAGTCATAGACTAATTTAGCGGATTATTCCAGAAACTAACTACCATGGTCAAAAGAGCATACATATCTCTTCATCAATATGTATAAGCTAAATAACAATCCTATGAGCTTCATAAAGAGAACATCAAAAAACTCAACTGTTAATCATAGTGATAGAGATTTAAGTACTGACCCAGTCATCATAGAAGAAATCAACAACTTGGAAAGCGGCTCCCACAGAGCCTCAACAACTACATTAAACTGATCAGACGGAAGTAATCCCAGCATACCAGAAATAGTCCTTTTCATAGCATCAGCCGTCGTTAGTGGCACATCTTTCTGAATATAACTGACATCTAAAGGTTCAATTTCGTGTATCAATTCAGAAAGAGCCGATTTCTACAAACAACAACAACAACAAAATCAAACTTCAATTGAAATACAGAAACCAGTTAGGGTTTAGATATTTATTACCTTGGTGTCGTCGAAGGAGTGTGATGATGAAGCGAGAACGAGAAAGGGGGAACGGGGTTTTGTGGAGAAACGGAGAGGGGAGAAAGAGATGGAGAGAGAAGGACGGAGACGGTGGAGAGGGAGAGAGGAGGAGATGGAGGGAATGGTGGAGGGGAGGGTTGCCATGTCGAGGTGAGAGTCGACGATGAACCAACCGCAAAACCCACACCTCTCTCTTTTTTCTGTTTTGAGTGTGTTTTGTAGTTACGGCCACAATAATAAAATTGTGGGTGATATGAATGTGAAACGCACGGTGGATATGTCGTTCGGAATTAGTCCAAATTATGAAAGCTGGATGGTTTCGTAATCTACATATATCTACATGACAGCCAAATTAGCCAACAAGATTCTAACAAAATCTAAATTAACATTAAAAACATATTTAGTTTAATCTTTTACACAAATAAATCAAGATGTTTAAGCTCTTAAGTGAATTACTATTTAAAAAATAGGATTTCTTTTGCTTGTTGTGAATTTTATTCGTTGGTTGTGGGAAAAAAAGTATGACTTCAATGTCTAAGGATTTTGTGAGGAAATTAAAAGTTATTTAAATTTCTAAGAATATTTTTATTTATTTATATAATTGCTCGTGGTGGGCTATCAGTCTAAAAGAATAATGTTCAATCATTAGTTTGAGTCATTTCACTTAAGTATCGAGGATATAATGTAACATTGTTCTGAAGTTCTACATCGGATACATGTCAAAAACTATTATTTACTGTTAGATATCATTCGACAGTCTCCTGTATTCCATGTCGAAATGGTAAGGAACATTGATAACCACCATCGTATATAAGACATCTCATGGAAAACCTGAGGTTTTCTCTATCTAATTCGTAACTCATTTTACTTTTTGTTCTCATGTTGACTTAAGTGTTAAAGTGATAACATTTAAGTTGTTCCTCCACATCATCATACTAGAGATTCAATTCACCATATTAAGATTGTACTTCATCAATTTACCAAGCATTTATGGTTCCTTGGCAGAATAATGGCGTAGTTGGTGGGAATCGAATTCTGATTCTTGTGAAATTCCATAACCATATTACTTCTGATGCAAAGTCATGAGTCATAACAACGATTATGCCCGAACGGAGAAGATGACTTACGATCCCAACATCTAGATCGTCTCTTACCTTCGTTGTTGTTTCTGTTGGTATCAAATCTTCAAGCAAGAAAAGTGTTCCACCACGAAGCTCATTCAAATTGTTAGCGACAATTCAACTGCAATGGGAAAATAAACCAATCATAGAGTTTCAAGACTAGGGGTGTACATGGGTTGGATAAACCCACAAAACTCGGTTAAACCCACACACAAAAAAATTTTAAAAAAAATGTGGGTCGGGTTAGGTAACTGAGTGGATATGAGTTTAAAAACTAAAAAATCCATTAAAAATTGAGTTTCGGGTAAATCCAACCCAAACCCAAAAAAAATCACTGATCCACTTATCAAATATTTATTATTGTAATTTGAATGGTTTTGATGAATATTAACTTTGTTGTTGTAATTTTAGTCTCTTGACCTTTACTATTTGAGTGAATCATGACTTTAACTAATTTTGAATGTTTCACTCTTTAGTTATTTTGATGCTAATATAATTTTATGTCATGCAACTTTAGTTTGTTGTTAGTATTTTATGATAATTTTATTAGTTGATATTATCATTTATTATTTTATGATGCTAAAAGATAGTAAAATATTTTTTTTCAAAAAGATAAAAATGTTGAGTAATTTTTATGAAAAAAAATATGATGACTCATTATTTAGTCATTTAATATGAATAAAACAAAAATATTATTTGGGCAATCCACTATCCAACCCGAAAAATAGTGGTTTTTCCCAAACTGGTCCATTGGTGTAACAAGTGGTTATTTTACCTTGCTCAAACCGGAGTGTCCTATATGAATTGGATATTAGTTTTTGTCAAATATAACTCAAATGAACCCACATACACCTCTCTTTGAGACCACTAAAAGGTGAATGAAACTTCTATTGTGACAGTTCCACTAGTTATAACTGCAGTTATAGCCAACCACTCAGTATCAAGGATCATCATCGACGATAAAAGCTCATGTGACTTGATGTACCTCATAGTTTTCACGAGATTAAGATTGTGCATGAAAATTTTGAAATTGTGTTAAGGCTGAAACCTTATAGCATTCAATGACTCATTAACCCGTCTATATGGAAATGTTATTACATGTGATTGGTGAAATTTTGTAGGCAGCGTGTTAAACGAGAAGTTTCAATGTTATGAGATACATCTCGCGCTTTTTAGAATTTGTTTCCTTTTCTGTTCAATCAAATATATGATTTTAAAGCGGGTACTCGTTTGAAAATGATCTATATTGAACCTGTTTTTAGTAAGATTGGAATTCTTATTCATATCAAATCCAAATTTAATTATATTTGTTTTAATAGAGATTAAGAATCAACATGATAAAGATTGATATTTTATGCGCTTTTTGGAATCCAACCATGTTCACGCTAAAACCCTATTGGACTGGACTTTTATGCTAGGCAATTGCAGCTTAAGGAGGTGTTCTCCTCGTGTGAAGACTTAGACCTTACATTTTGAAGCTTGGTATTTTAGTTCTTATCGAGTCTTTGTATTTTGGATTGTAATACTTTATTTTTGGGTTCTTTCCAAGCTAGGATAATAGAGTATTTGTGTTGTAATTGTGTTTCATCTTCTCATATAATTTTGTAATTGTACAAACACTTGGCATAGTGTTAGAGTGAAAGTGCGAGAGGCCTTAGATTCAGGGGGAGTCTAGATCAAGTTCACAAGTACTATTAGGAAAAAAACCATTGAACTTGGAGAGTTAAGATGAGACAATCATGTACTATTGACTACTAAGAGTGAATTTATTTTCATTAGACTGATGTCCTCTAGATGTAAGTCACTTTGTACCGAATTCAGTTAAAAATTACTTGTGTTACATATTTTACACATTTATTTTCTCTGTTACAATATCATGTTATCATTCACGTTGGGGGACCTGGGATTCGAACCCAGGTCCTGAGGCACGTTCCAGCGCTTGGCAACCAGCTGAGCTATTTGTTTTTGTTGTACATGAAATAAATAATAATAATAATAATAATAATAATATACAAAAAACAAGAATTAGTGGAGGATAACAAAAAATGCGCGCCAGGGTTTGAATGTGCCAATGGAAAGGTGACACGCAGGTCATCCCTGACCTCGTTCCGTTGGTAAAAGTTGGAAACTTTTACCTACGGACGTTTGTCTGTCGCTATATCCCTGTCATTCTTCAAAATTAACCATGAGCAAGATAAATGCAAACTAGGGCCACCAATCGATTCGTCTGGACCTCCTGAGTGCAATGGTGGCCCTTTCATGGCCTAATTTCGCCTGCACAAAAAACTCCTAAATCGAAGCTGTAAACCCTAGCCATGGTGAAATCCAGTACAAGCCATGAAAATGCAATCAAATGATACAGAGAGCTTGTAAAATTTTTATGGATCAATAATATATGGTTAATTCATGTTAACAATGCCTAAATCGTGCAAACCGAATTCAAAAATTCATGGATGTTGTGGATGACTTACAACGCTTTTTGGTACTGGAAAGGCTTTGTTCTTGATTGCTTCTGCTTGCTGAGAATCCTAGGAATCGATTGAAATGGTTCAAGGATCTTGAAATTGCCTCTAAATGGGAATTCGTGTTGCATTTTTTTCTTGATTTTTCAAGTTTGTGTTCTTGATCACACGCCTCCTTCTCTAGCCTCTTTTGGTCTGTACACACTCCTTATGTATTGAGGAGTGAATTAGGGTTGAAAGAATGCACTCAATCTTCCTCCATCAATGAGTTTGATCTTGATTTGATTCACCTTAAAATCTTTCCAAAAATGGCCTAAATCCAATCTTTTTATGCATACCAAGCGTTTACACGAGTTTGATTTGATGCTAGCTGTAATTTAAAATCTGAAACAAGCACAAAATCTTTTGTTTTCAATATTTTGGATTTTCTATAATTTGTTTTGATTTAAAATGATTTAATTCAAATCAAAATCAAAATAAATAATAAAAATAAGTTAATGACAAGTGGCAAAGGCTAGGGCTCGTGGACCATGTTTCCAAATCAAAACAAGTGAAAAAGATTGGGCCCATTTGGCAAAAATTGAAGTTTTAGGCATAGTTGACTTTTGGCAATTTTGCAAAAATGGCCAACTTCACCAATGCATAACTTCCTCAATTTTGACTCTTTGAAGGTGTTCTTGGAATTTTTAGAAAGCTTGAGATGTCCTATAATCAACCCTTTTGGTCTCATCTCAATTTGATATTCCATTCTCATGTATTAAGCTTTGACAAAAAAGGTGTTTTTGTTGACTTTTCAAAATAACCTATAATGTCCAAATTCATAACTTCTTGTGAGTGCATATTTTGAACTTGGGAGATGAAGATGAATTGTAGGGAATTACATCCTCTTCAAAATTAGCTTTGGATGGGTCATTTCTGATAAAGTATGAGAAAGTTATGCTTGGTCAAAGTTGAGTTGACTTTTCTTGCAAAACCCTAATTTAGCAACTTTTGATTCTTGATGAATTATGAGCAATCCTTGATGAATCATGATCAACCCTTGATCAAATGATGAAATATACTTAAAAATGAGGATGTTGACCAAAAATCTTGAAGTTTGACTGTATGTGGGCCACGGTTGACTTTTGCCCTAGCACAGTCGATTTTTGGGCCTTTGAGCAATTGATTGAGCAAACTTCCTCTGCAAGGCTTGAAACTTGACATGGATGATATTGAGAGCATATTAGGACAATGGTTAGAATTTGGGATCCCTTGGACTCAAGTATCTTGATGCAACATGAAACCCTAATTTGAGGTAGACTGCCTTAGGAGAGAGCTTGTCTGGCCAACCCTTTGACTACCTTGAGCAACTTGGGGATCTTTCTTGAAATGTTTTGAGAAATATGAGAGGGAAATTTTTTGGGTACAACACCAATCTTTCAACACAATTATCAGCAATAAAGCAATGAGTAGCACTGATATCAATAATAGTAATTAAAGGAGTATTATTAATGAAACATGTACATCTGATAAGTCTGTCGTCAACAGCTGTCTGATCCCCAACCAAAGAAAACACCTTGCC